GAATGGATTGTATTGATCTTACTACTTTTGAAGGCATTCAGTGTATGAGACACCTATTCTTTTAGTATGCAAAAGGCAACTAAGAACATCCCATCAGACATGAGTGATCATTAGCAAGTTCCCAATGCATGCTAAATTTACAGTGCACTTGTGAATTGATGAGCACTAGGTTACTAACAAAGAATTTTACATACATACATGCTTATTTACAATTTATATAACAAGCCAAAAAAAGGAAAGCTGTTAGCTTTGGCATACAACAGCCTTTTTAATGTTGCTTTTGACAAAGAAGTTTCTATCATATAAAAATTATACTTGTGACTTCAGAAAACCATTACAAAAGATGGCTGTGGTTTTTTTTCTTGTATTATCATTACTCATTTGAGCAATGCTCCTTTACTAGGTAGCTTTTTGCAAGAATCTGTAGAAATTATCTCAGTATACATTCATATTTGGCCAAAGATATATTACAAGTAGGTCTGTGGAGCTGAACTACTTGGTGATAGGTGGCTTGATGATTTATTTCATGAAAAGAGATTACATGAAATTTAACAACTTCTCAGAGGTAGCAGCAACACTAATTAAAGACTAAAGCATAACAACCCATAAAGCATGAGCACGCTTTAACTGCTTCGGAAGAACAGCTGTCTACAGTGAAGATTCATGTTTATTTGTATAGCTGAACTTTGAAACAACTTATCAATGTAACATCTAAATTATTTTCTGTTTGGACAATATACTTTATGACCCAAGGATTTTTACTATATACAGAGATGGTAGTGCTGTTTGTACTATACAGATTATTAGAGGTGGACTAACCTCAAAAGACTGAACTACTCTCTGTCCAAATAAGCAATTAATGATTTCATGATAACAACTTGAAGAAACTACCTGTGTTTCTGAATAAAATCTCTCTTAAACTTCTCCTGAAAGCCTCCTCTTTACCACTTCATTAGTAACTTTAAAATCTTGCTTCTATTATTATTCCTCATAATGACCACCTCTATGATTTTCATGCATGATTCAAATATCCCATGGAAATCATTGAGAAAAGTTAGGTCTGAGTTCAAAATCTTACTGCCATTCAGAGAAGACTCGATAGTTATTTGGGAAAGCCACTATCTTGTAGTTAAAAATAAACAAGATTCTTCATGAGAGGAAAATCCTGTGGACTCCAAGAATAAGCCAACATCTAGATACTGGGACTCTTTGTCAGATACTCTCACAGCTCTGGCGCTGCTTTATTTGGTGTTTTCTGCAATGGCAGTGTTGCAGGTATCTCTTTCAGAAACCTCTGGTTTATGTTTCCCTACTTCCTTATAGATACCAAGAAAGCAATTTCTTCCATTCCTCTTTCCCCCAATATAAAAGGTGTCTGAAAAAAAACATTTGCATCCATTCAAAGATGTGTATTTTGGTGTTGAAACATGCAGTAGGAAGTCATGTGATAATCTGAGGCCCTATGGGGCCTCCAAGGGAGGATGGAGACAAAGAACCATATGAAGAAAAAAAATACTTTAAAAAGAAAGACAGTGAGAAATTAAACCCAACATTTTAATGCAGCATTAGGAAACATCTTTAAAAAAAAATCATACAGTGTCACTAACAAAACCAGCGTAGTATTAAAAAAGATGCTTATTTAAACACATTTTGAAAGACGTACTTATTTAGAAGAAATATATAATGTGATATTTGAGCAGGTCCTCACAAAAATTTTATAAAATTTTGCAATTCTTTGACTCATTCCATTTTTAACATAGATTTTGTAGAGCGCTGCTGAAAACTTTCTCCCTGAAAAGGCCATTTATTGCTGTTCCTTTAAAACGAAATGGTAACTAGCCCCGCTTGCTATGTCTTCATCCCAATACCATAAACAGAACCCAGCTACATCTGTGTTCCAGCTTTGAACAATGAGGATTAGATTTTCTCTGGTTAACGTTGTCTTAAATTTCTACAAGATTATACTATGGTTACAGTAAAACATCAGCTGTATGGCTTTCTCTTTCTTTGGTTATTGCCCCCTTAGGTATAACATTGTAATCAAAGAGAGGTCAATTGTATCAAAATAGAAGTTTGCCAGAATTTATCTGGCATAAATTCTTCCCTCAAGATTTCATTATGAAGTGTTACTTCTGAAAAAAACACACTATTGTCCAAAATCTAAGAAATTACTTTACAAGACTAGAAATATCAATTACATGGATCTGAATACAAAAGACAGAGTAAACACTGGATCTGAAGACTAATCATAGTCAGTATCATCAGTAGTAGTAAGGTATAGTTTAAAATACCTTCATACAATGCATTCATTATAGGTAGATAAGAGGCTAACCACTGAATATGATTAAACTGGAGGATTCACTAGGGCAGTGAACATTGTCTAAAAGGAGCTTCTTACAGTTTAGTTCAATTTCCAGAAGACAAAGTTAAAATTTAAAATTCTACATGTCCACAGTGACTCCTGCAAATTCAGTAGCCGGTCCCTAGATGATCAGTTTGCCACTACTAGTGGTCCTTGAAAAAGGTTTGCAGGGTGTCCTGGGAAGGTTACAGTGCTGTGATGTGCAGGCTGAAATAACTTTTTAAAATAAAGTGGCATTTAACCACCAAAAGCAAAAGCCACCACTTGATCATTATGATCTCTTTTGGCTTAATACTTGAAGGCAAATATTCAGTAAACCATAGTACATGGAAAGATGCATAAAACCTGTGCTAAACATTCATAAAGCCATAGGCCTTACCAAAAAAAAAAAAAAAAAAAAAAAAAAAAAAAGTAGATCTCCTAGCATTGAGGTTAATATGTTTCTGACATTGGGAATATTAGCTCTTTGCAGTCTGGGCATTCATTCTGCCTTTTCTCAGTCTGAACTAAGCATCTTTCTGTTACATTACATAGATATCCTGTAAGGTGTTGGAGAGAAAAGTCTATTTCCATCATGATATACAGCAAAACTCCCACTACTTTCAATGGAGTCAGCATGTCACCTAGTTTATCTTTGTCAGTTTGTGTTCTGTAATCTTGCCAAGTTTCATGTTATTTGGAGTGTTCCTTAAAACTTTAACTCCCATGGCAATCTAAAATTCACCTTAACAAGAAAAGATCTTGGGGATCTAGACAAGAGAGTTGACTGATTAATTTTATCTTAAACTAATAATATAAAATAGATCTGAAGATTCACATTGCTTTACACCACTGACTCAATTTTCTTAATTGATTAAAGACATATATACATATCTTCACTGCAGAAGTCTAAAGGTGAAGTCACTCTTTTTTCATACACTTTGCAACAAAACCTCTCTTTCTACCAGGTTTGAATTTTCTAGGTTCATATAAATGGTAGTAAAATCTCTGTCATTTTTAATAATATTCACAAGTACTTGCTAAATATTTTTGGGGTTTTTTTTTTCAGTGCTATGTTAACAGAGCACTCATAAAGGTGGAGGTATGGCTCTGCATGCATTTTCTTTGGCAGAAAACTCAGGTTAAGAAGTTCCTGAGTTGTTAAACTTCTTTTTATCCTAACTTCTCAGTTTACTACTCCTTCCGTTATGTCAATACAACTGTTCACAGAGCCATTCTGTAAACCAAATTGCTGGTTTGCCCTCAGAAAGAGAAGCTCTGGGGTTTTTTTCTAAATCTGTGTCACCTCACTTTTCAGAACAGTCCTACAATGCAGCTGCAGGATCAGTAAACTAGAATCACAAGTATCTGAACAAGACATTTCTTGCCCTGTCTTTTCAGTAGAATAAAATATATGCAATTGCACACAGAATTCAAAGGGTTGATGTGTAGGAAGCTGCATCTTGCTGGGAAAGAGCAGGCAGGGTAGGGGGACAGAAAAGGCAGTTAGCAACTTTTTAAGCCCAGCTTTGATATCAATCAGTAAAATTTTTGATATATTTTTGTAGTCAATGATAGGTAACTAGTAATTTTCTGCTAGCTGTAGACATATAAATAAAGTGCCTACAAACCCCTTTTTTAAAAAAAATAATAAATAAATGGACATTTGTCAGTTTTCTAAGCGCCATGTGGGAACTTGCTCAGAGGCTTTGCAGACAAGTGAACAAACCTTAAATGGATCTGAGTGAGGACCCACCTGACATTCCTGACCTAAAAGCGTTTGGCACATTTCAAGATCAAGATTAGGAGGCTCAAGGTTTAATACAGATTTTCACATTCTAAATAATAAGATTAAAGATTAAAGATTAAATGTCACTGTTCTGGCCCAAACTGTATGTGCAATGAATATATACCTGAATTGAAGTTGGCCATACTGTCACATAAATGCATACACACGCAGGTAATCATCTAAATCTCTGTTAGAATTGTCTTCTTCACTTAGTCCTTCCATTCATTTGCTGAGTCTTTCTTACAAGTTCAATGTAAGTCTTAAAGAAAAAGTCTCCCTGTCTCCTTGTACACCATTCTGAATACTGATTATTACTGTAATATTGTAAGTGCTATAACAGAGCAGCACCATCACACTCATAACACATTTGCTAAGAACATCTAACCTGAGAGCAAAAGCAAACTGTGAACAATTGAACAATCACAGTTAAAGCAACAGAAAAGGACTGTAAATAAAATTAAATCATGCTTATACTCAGAATAACCAAACAAGTGATATTATGCACAACACTTATGAATTATAGTCTTTTTTGAGGTTTACATGGGATGGATGAACTGTGATACTGTCTAAACATACAAAGGAGTTAATTTGTCTTTACTGTTCTTGTTCTTGATTCACATAGTGGATATAAAACCAGAATGAGTTAGGACTGAAGCGCTTTTCCAGCACTGTAAATATGTGGGCATTCTTCAGAACCGCTGGTTACAAAATGGCACAAGAAGAGCAAAAAAGGAAATTACTAAATAACCCCTTAAACACACACACTCCAGGAGTATTTATGAGCCTAGGAATAGCAGAATTGGCTAATCAGGCACAAAATAAAAATACTTAGTGCACTTGCAGTTTAATTGATTGTCTTAATGGTTTCAGGGTGGTGGTTTGATGCCTGTGGCCCCTCCAATCTCAATGGGATGTTCTACACTGCTGGGCAAAACCATGGAAAGCTCAATGGCATCAAGTGGCATTACTTCAAAGGCCCCAGCTACTCCTTGCACTCCACCACCATGATGATTCGGCCCTTGGATTTTTAAAGGTATTCAGCAGTGGATCCCAGAACAAGTCAGGACAACACTGCCCTCAGCAGCACTACTATCACAGTCTGAAGGTAAAAGGTGAAGGACTTCTTGAAAGCAACATGTAGGAATGATGCAAAGTCACTTCATTATCACTCCGTAACCCACATAAACTCCCCAACAGTCACCCCATGTTCTGACGACTCGGGGAGGCTTCGTTTAGATGAAGGTGGCTGCAATGATTTTCCGGAGAACAACTGGATCTGGTTATTCTGTCTAAACCCGATGCTTGTCAGTGGATGTCTTTTTTTAATAGAAGATGCAAAACCACAACAGATTATTCAACAACAGCATCAGAATTTGAAGAACTGAAATGTATCAACCACCGTGTATTGAGTAGAATGTTATTCAGCAGTGAAATGTCAACATTATGCACATGAAAAAGGATTACAGAGACACCTTTATTAAAACTCATCTTAAAGCTTTAAAGGTGACCACTCAAAATATTGTTTCTCTTAAATGAACTGAACTTGAGTGGTGGATGGATTTATGTTAATCCTAGAGTCAAACAGTTTGCGTGAATATTATTTTTCATTAAATCCTTTAAGGACATGTTTCTCATAAATAGACTGAGTCAAACATATGAAGAATGATAAGGGTAATAAGCATAAATTCTTCGGTTTCTCTGTAGAGGTAAATCAGATAATTGGCATAATCTCTGAGCTAGGATTGATAGTGTGATAACGAAAGTAGCTGTGTTTTGAGGTTTTTCCCTTCTTTCGTTAAAAGCGGTCTGAATGTCATAGAAAAATTAATGGAAGGTTTAAAGAATGTGAAATATTATCCTAAAGAAAACATGGGATTTTGCATGGAATATTTCCATCAAAAGTACACAGGAAGGCAAAATGTTAGGGTATATAGAAATTACATAAATGTATAGCTTAAGGCAATGGATTCATTTTACAGTATCCTTGCATGTGCAAAATTTATCATTAATTATTTTGCTTTTTTATTACATTTTTCGTGAATATCAGAAGCATGCCAGTTCTACACAGTGCTTAGGCTACAACTATAAAAAATACTCATCAGAACTGTATAGAAAATAAAGAATTGTGAAGTTGTAAATAGCATGTTTATATTTCCTGTAATGGTCACTTAACTTGTACAGGCAGCCCTGACCCTACTCAAAGGGTGCAAAGCCTCAGAAGGATATAAATATTAAAAGAACTTTAGAAGACTGTTTACAGGTTGCTAAAAAGTAATTTTGTTATATTAAAATGTTGCAGAAATATGGGGCAAGATGTAAAATTCAGCCATTGGAAAAGATAAAGTGCCTATAATAGCAAGTAGCTGGGTGTCCCATGAGGGTGTAGAAACAACTCTTTCCATTTACAGCCCCTCATGATTTAGTCATATGAATAAATCCATTTGGGAAAGTAGCTCGCAGTCATCCTACTTCTGTTATATACAAAATGAGCAAGTTTACCCTGCTCCCACTGAAATCAAAAGAAACATTCTCATCAATTAAATTGGGACCAACATGACATGCAAAATCTGCATGTGGTGAGTTTTTTACTTGTCTGTTTATTGCTTTGTTTCATTGATTAAACTGCTTCTGAGATCAGGCACAACAAAGATCTGGTTCTTTTTTAATGGATGACGATACTAGAGTAACTGTCTAGGTTTTTTTTCTTTTTTCTTCTTTATTTTCTCTCTTTTTTTTTTGGTTTTTTTTGTTTTTTTGTTTTTTCCTTTAGCAGTTTATTTCTACGGAAGAGAAATTATTATTTTAAACATCCCTTCTTAAAGATCACTAGGCCCCACAATGTTCTCTGTTTTTGTTACAATTAGTTATTTGTTTGCTTTTAAGTGGTAAGATCTTTGGGTTTGTGTATTTGTATATATTTATATATATATTTGAAATAATCTTGCCTGGGGGTTAACTTGCTGTTTTGTTCTGAGTAAGTAACCAAGCTACTCCTTACTCAGCAATTTCTTCACAGAGCTGTTTTGTTTCAGTTTCCAGCAGTTTTTTCAAATGGTTTTCATTTATGTGCAAAATATGTGGTCCATCTTCCTCCATATTCTCAAAAGATATATTTTTGCAGGTCTTCAAGCTAGGAATGTGATTTTTGCAGATCCTATTGCAAAAGACAAAACACATTTAAAATCAAAAGCATGATATTTACTGTTTATTTATCTGGGTTTGAGAAAAATGTGGATTTGGTTTCCTATCCTTTGTAATAAAACATTTTTTAAAATTGCAGTGTCCATGATTTGCTTTGCTTTAATTATACCTTTCTGTGACAGGCTGACAACATTTTACAAGCCACCATCTCTCTTTGTAATAAATATTAATAAATTTACATAAAGTCTAGAAAGGGAATCTAGAGTTTGTCATAAAATAATATTTCTAAACTTTCAAATACTAATTTCCGTAATTTTTATTCAATTTCCTTGACTAAAATCATGAGACTATATTTCTTAACATATTAAAGAAGGGTCAGAAGGATGATCTGGGAAATTACAGGCCTGTCAGCTTGACATTGGTGCCCGGGAAGCTGATGTAGCAGCTCATCCTGAGTACCATCACACAACACATGCGGGACAGCCAGATGCTCAGGCCCAGTCAGCATGGGTTTATGAAAGGCAGGTCCTGCCTGACAAACCTCATCTCCTTCTATGACAGGGTGAACTGATGATCAGATGAGGGAAAGGCTGTGGATGTTGTCTACCTTTGCTTTAGTAAGGCCTTTGACACCGTTTCCCACAGCATTCTCCTGGCAAAACTGGCTGCTCAAGGCTTGGATGGGCACAGGCTTTGCTGGGTAAAAACTGTCTGGATGGCCGGGCCCAGAGAGTTGTGGTGAATGGAGTTAAATCCAGTTGGTGGCCGGTCACGAGTGGTGTCCCCCAGGGCTGGGTGTTGGGGCCACTCCTGTTTAACATCTTTATTGATGATCTAGACGAGGGGATCGAGTGCACCCTCAGTCAGTTTGCAGATGACACCCAGTTGGGTGGGAGTGTTGATCTGCTCGAGGGTAGGGAGGCTCTGCAGAGAGACCTGGACAGGCTGGAGCCATGGGCTGAGCCCAACTGGAGGAGTTTCACTAAGGCCAAATGCTGGGGGCTGCCCTTGGGCCACAACAACCCCCAGCAGCGCTACAGGCTTGGGGAGGAGTGGCTGGAGAGCTGCCAGTCAGAGAGGGACCTGGGGGGTTGATTGACAGCCGGCTGAACAGGAGCCAGCAGTGTGCCCAGGTTGCCAAGAAGGCCAATGGCATCCTGGCTTGTGTCAGCAATAGCGTGGCCAGCAGGGACAGGGAAGGGATCTGACCCCTGTCCTCGGCACTGGTGAGGCCGCCCCTCGATTCCTGTGTTCAGTTTTGGGCCCCTCACTACAAAAAGGACATTGAATGACTCGAGCGTGTCCAGAGAAGGGCAACGGAGCTGGTGCAGGGTCTGGAGCACAGGTCATACGGGGAGTGGCTGAGGGAACTGGGGGTGTTTAGTCTGGAGAAGAGGAGGCTGAGGGGAGACCTCATCGCCCTCTACAGCTGCCTGAAAGGAGGTTGCAGAGAGCTGGGGATGAGTCTCTTTAACCAGGTCACAAGAAATAGGACAAGAGGGAATGGCCTCAGGGAAGGTTTAGACTGGATATTAGGAAGCATTTCTTTCCAGAATGGGTTGTTAGGGGTTGGAATGGGCTGCCCAGGGAGGTGGTGGAGTCCCCATCCCTGGAAGTGTCTAAGAGTTGGGTTGACATAGCACTGAGGGATCTGGTGTAGTTGGAACTGTGTTAGGTTAAAGGTTGGACTGCATGATCTTCAAGGTCTTTTCCAAACTAGATGGTTCTCTGATTCTTATTTTAATTTCAAATTGTACAACTCTTTATCAATCTTTAAAATAAACTGTTTCTTGAATTGCACAGGGAAAGATACAAACTGAAGTGTGAGTCTTGTTTCCCTTGAGTTATGACATGTTCTTCTATCATCTATTTGATCATGTTTTGGGCAGTGACAAATCTCCATTGATCTTTTAGCCAGAAATGCCTCTTGCTCCATTTGTATTTTTTTTAACACTATAGGGATCAGTTTGAACATCTCTTTATGGTCAATTTATCCTCATTTTCTCAGGAATTTTTGCTGAATTGGACTTGTTTGTTGTATTCATTTGGACCAACCTAGCTTTTCACATCAGCACTAAAATTGTGAGGAACTACATACATAAAAGCACATTTTTCTCCTTCAGTTAAACATGTACATAGTGCATGAATTGAAGGGTTACAATTAGTAAAAATGGTCTTTCTGGATTAGATTTATATTAAAATGTTGATTGCCTTGAAAGATACTGAAAAATAGTCAGTGGACAATGATGATAGTAGCTGTACTATTTACCCTTCACAGATAAATTTCTTTCTGTTTTATAAAACAAAAATACTCCAAATTTTCACAAATCAATAGATATGTTTTGCATAGCATATAGATCCTTAATTTTTAATATCTTCTAAGGCTGGGGATGTAATCTAAATGAAAGGTTTTCTAAGTGCTGTAGCATCCAGTACTGGCCTATTAACTGGGCAAGTCATCTACATCTGTACAACAGGTTGCCAAGACACAGTTCCTTAAAAAACCCTTCCAGCTATAGTAGCAGCTTTCTTCTCTGCAGACCTGCAGTTCAAACCACAGCTCTGACCAGCTCAAACAACCTTGTTTGGGATTGGCACAGCACTCGCTTCTCCTTTGGGAAGAACAAAACTGAAACAGCAATCACAACAAGAGTTTAACACTTTAGGTAAAATCAAGCTTAATTTACAACCAGATAGTGCTGAAGTTGTGCCAGAAGGCATTCCTACCTACCAGCTTTCACATGAGCTGGACAGGAAGGGAGGATTAACAGACAGCATGTGGAAAATAAGGGAGCAAGAGCAGGAAAGAGAGAAGACGGGGATATGGGACTGTAATGAGGAAAGGGAAAAGACAGACAGACAGGGAAGAGTTGAAGGGAAAGGATTACCTGTGAGACATAGCAGGTCCATATTTCCTGTGCCACATCTGTCACACAGTGCACAAACTCTCTTCTCCTCCAGGAGTGTCCAGACCCCCCTCTCCCTGACTCCTGCTCATATGAGGAGGAATCTATGGGTCTCATTTGACTTTGAATGCTTTGGGATGTTTGTTTGTGTGCATTTTCCTTTTTTTGCACAGAGAGAAATTTGGTATGGATCTTTGAGAAGACATGCTGCTTGTGGTTGTGTCAGGATAGCTCTGTAGCAAGTCCTTTAAAATGGCAGAGTTCCTTTGGAAAATGTTGTATTCTGTTGTGTAAATTTTAAGCACTGATAATGAAATAGAACCTATGCCCATCCAAAATCTTGTGAAATTAGAGCCTTTATTCTTCCACTCGCTGAAATTTCTGTTGGGTATTATAAATAAAGCAGACTTTATTCTCCATATCAATGATCTGTGCAGTTTTCTGAGCCAGTGAATTCAATTACAGAAAATTAGGATATATACTGTAAATATGACCCCCCAAACCCACTGATATATTAAATGAAGGCCTAGGCACCAGTCCTGTGTTTTAGTAACAAGAATCTTGAGCCCCAAAGAGTTACCATAAATTTTATTTCTCTCATTACACTTCTCACCTTTCTTTCACTTTAATAGTGCCCGTGTGCCTGCTTTAAACTGCTGGCAATGTTTGCCTTCTGCTCTCTGGTAGTAGTCACAGGAAAGCAAGTACCACATTTAACAGAATACCAAGGACCAGCAGATGCTTGTCTTAACAACCACAACATCACCTATGGAGAGAGCAAAGTCAGTCTGTGCCAAAACTTGGGGAAGGAACTTTTCTTGACAGTTGTTTTCTTTGCAAGGCCATGGAGGAAAAATAGGCACATATGCACACAGAAGATCTTCTTTCTACTTAAACAAGTCAACCCTAAGAGACCTAACAGGACTCCAGAAGAGTAACTCATAGCCATCTGCTTCATCCCAGTAGGAAAAGGAGGAGAAAAAACTCTGAAACAAGGAAAATGAAGTTTGATGAATCTTGATACACTGGATAAGAAAAAGTTGAGGAAGAGTGAGAAAACAGCTGTTATAGGATAATATAGCTAAGAATGCAAAGGAATCAGGTTAGTAAACTGAAGGCAAGGCCAGCAAAAGGAAGAAGTCAGTCTGACAAAGAGAGTATGAAGAAATGACAAAGATGAAAGCAGAGGAAAAGGAGGAAAATAAAGACGAATTAGGCAGAGGAATCTGTTAATATACTTATTAGAGGATAATTAGTATCCAATTAATTCCCTAAAGTCTAAAAGGAACAGTGTGGCCATTTTACTTTCTGCTTTTATTTAATGTTTATAATGTAGTGAAGATACACTCTCATATGGTAAAATCTAAAGCAGTACTTAAAAAGCAGCTCCTTCTTGGAGGAATTTTTGGTGACATGCTGTCTGAGAAACAGTTCATGCCTTTAGTGTGAGACAAGAATCCACCAGTAGATAAATCAGCTTTGGATAATATTTATTCTTCCACTAAAAGATGTGGATCTCCATCCTTTTGCATCCCTCTCATGCTTATATTTAGAATCATTGTCTGCTCTAAAGGAAACTGCAAATCTCAGACCTGATCTCACTCAGTTGCATTGTCGAACCACTGGTTTGTTTTCCT